GTTAGAGTTCTTCGCTGCAGTTCGAACAGACTGGCAGCCAGCTGCTAAACATATTAGTGGACCAGTTAGTGAACACAACCAGTTTCATGTTGTGGCTTTCGCTGGGGTTGACATGAACCTAAAGGACATTTAAATAGGTCGATATGAATGAAAATATTTTAGCTTAAACTCTGGCTTTGTGTGAAACCTTCATAAATGTTTTATTTAAGCAATTTCAATAATAATTTCACTTAATTTTCAATAATCCATTCCATCCATCCATTATCTTCTGCTTATCTGGGGTCAGATCACGGTGGCAGTGGGTTCAGCAATGTAGTTCACATGTCCCTCGCCATGGCAATGTGTTCCAGCTCCTCTGGCGGGATTCCAAGGCGTTCCCAGGCCAGATGAGAGACATAATCTCTCCAGCGTGTTCTGGGTTTTCCCCGGGGCCTCCTACCAGTTGGACATGCCTGGAAGACCTACAAAGGGAGGCGCCCTGATAAGATGCCCAAACCACCTCAACTGGCTCCTTTCAATGTGAAGGAGCAGCGGGTCTACTCTGAGTCCCTTCAGGATGTCAGATTTACCAATATCTTTATGGGTAAATCCGGCCACCCTACAAAGGAAGTTTATGTTGGCTGTTTGTATTCATGAACTTATTCATTCTGTCACTACCCACAGCTTGTGACCATAGAGTTGGAGCGTAGACTGACTGGTAAATTGAGAGCTTTGCCTTTTGGCTCAACTCCTTCTTCACCACAATGGTTTAGTACAACATCTGCATTGCTGCATACACTCCCTTCACTTGGGGCAGCAAACTCACTCCCAACCCAGAGGGAGCAGTCTGCCATTTTCCAGCAGAGCACAATGGCCTCATACTTGAAGGTACCAACTCTCATCCCTGCCCCTTCACACTCAGCTGAACTGCCCCAGTGTGTGCTGGAGGTCACAGTCACATCATCAGCAAATAGCAGAGATGCAATTCTGAGGTCCCCAAACTGGCTGCACCTTGAGATCCTGTCCATGAAAATCACAAACAGGATCGGTGACGAGGGCCAACACAAACTCGAAATGTGTTTGAATTCTTGCTGAGTATACAGACACAACTTTCATTTTGGTTATACAAAGACCAAATGGCTCGTACCAATGGCTCTGGTGCCATTCAATAGTAATAACATAATAGGTTTCAATAATACATTCATGCTCAACTGACAAAAAAAGCAAGAAAGCAGTTCTGTTAAAAGAGGCTAGTGTTCCTCTTCATGTTTCTCCTTCATGCTGTAAAACCCCTTTGTCATATTAAATAACCTTTCATTACAAGTCTGTGTGATCACATCACTTTGTCACTTTAAAGTCTAAGTTTCAAAGCTCAGTTTCCTGAGCTTCGGTCTGTAACTGAGTTAATGGTTTTTAAGTCTCAGTGGCGCTATACAGGTGCCTACAGGCTTTCTGATTTTATATTCTGTAATCTTATTCTGTTTGTACTTTGACACAATTTTATTGTACAGGAGTTTTATAGTTGCTTACAGACCTTGGTTTTAAATTTGTGTAATTTTAACTTGTTTTTCTTCTTGTTAGTTTATGTCTTAACATGTTCTGCTTTTATTTTTATATGTTACGTTGTGAAGCACTTTGAGCACCCTTGGGTGTTGCAAAGTGCCATATAAATATATAAATTAAATAAAATAATTAAACATATGGTAAAGAATATCTCGACCCAAGGCAAGGTTTTGATAAAATGGATGGACCTGTGAAGGTGTAACCAAAATATTCATCCTGGGCACATAAAGAAATCAGCAGGTCAGTGCACGCACTTCAACAGAGACTCTGTATTTATCAGCCGATATATCTGGCACAGGGGGAAGCACCGATGTTGCAGCCTTGTAGCTGACTCCTTTCACCTTCCACCAAGCTCAAGCGCCAATCTACTGGTGCCGACAGGTGGGCCCTGTGGCCACCTGCTGTCACAGGTGTCCGCAGAAGTGCCTGATGGAATCCTCCGAAGGTTCTCTACAGACAGGCGTGGACTGGCTGTGTCTGTTTCTCCTCCGAGACATCATATATCCTGTGTTCAACAGGCCATTGGCTGGAGCCTTAACAACAGATGAAACACGAAGGAATGCAAACCCGCGGCTGGCGGTGCAGGAGTGTGCGCAAGTAGCTGACGGACAGACAGCTGCTCCGTGTGGAAGGAGCAGGAGCCGTGGCGCTGATGGCTTGATGTAAGTTCCATTACTGTTGACTTTCTCGACCTCTTGGTGTCTTCGTCAGTCCGAGCTGAGTGGTTAGTGAGTGTAGTCAGTGCAGAAACACTTAGACAAGTCGGGGGCGAATTTAAATTACATTTCTGTGAAGAAAGTGAAAACGTTACTGTGTTTGACTGTAGATGGGCCAAATAAACAACGAGCTGTCAGTTCCTCTGTGTATTTTAATCATATTCCTTATACTCATCCAGTCATTGCTATTATATTTAATAGGTAGCCCTGCGGTAAAATGATGTCTCTTACATTTTGGCTGTACCATGTAAAAAGAGAAAGGAGGGAGAAGGAGCAGCACAGGTTCATTCACAGGTGCGGATCGAATGTTACTGCGTCACAGAGGTCGGAGCTGTGTGCGACGGGGCGCATGTCAGGACGGGCTACCTCTTAATAAATGTTATCTGTTTAAGGAGTACACCACGCACGTAGCGACTTTCAGCAGG